GAATGAATTGGACATTATTACCTTATGTACATATATGACTACATGACTGGTTTGATTCTATATTATGTGCAACCAGAAGAATGAGAAATTATACTCCATTTATGTATGATGTGTCAAAGTGCATTCTACTGCCATGTATAATTAATTAGAACAAATTTTAAAAAAATAGAATGTAGGTCCCTGAGTATGAGAAGAAGGTGAGAGATTTAAGTATATGGAGGAAGATTGTCCAGGGCAGAGACCACAACAAGTACAAAGGACCAGAGGCCAGAGCACACATGGCTGTTGAAGAAAAACAAAGAGGCAGGGGAACTGGAACAGAGAGGGAAAGGTGAAAAGCAGGTCTTGCTGAACACTGCAGGGCATTTTAATGATTCATGTTTTTAGTGAGTATAAGAGAAGCCATTGAGAATTTTTAGCAGAGGAGTAATGAACTAATGAAACTGAAATTTGAGATGAAACTCAATTCATTATTTCTGCTGGCGGTGGGGTCTGCACAAGCTGCAGGCCTCTGCAGCCAAGAAGTGTTACAGCTCTTAATGGTGGGCTATGCCCTCCAGTGTTGGAGCAGATTCCAGCAGTTCATTGTCAGTTTCTTCTGGGTTCTTGTCTCATGGATTCTAAGAATGAAATCCAGAAACCAGAAAGAGCGAGTGTAAGAGTAGGGTTTCTTCAAGTGTGCACAGAAACAAAACTCAGGCAGAAGGAACGAGAGAACCTATCAGGGGTTGCCATCTGAGTGTATAGGGGTTTATATAGCACTTGGGTCAATGCTATTGGTCCAAAATTATGCTGGATAGAGTTTGTAAAAGTACTAATGCTGTTGGTTAGCCCTGAATCCCATTCAGGTTTGCCTTCCATTTTCTCCTAGCTCCTCAGGAAGCCAGTGGTTAAAGGCAGTGGATCACACATGCTCCATGGGTGGAGGGAGGGGTCTGGAGACCAGCGCTGCGTGGAGCACACTTCTTCAGCAGGCATCCACACTGTGTGCAGGCCAGACTGCCGTGAGGGGACAGGTTGGCTTGCCCCAGCCCACCTCCAGGTGCTCCTCAGGCGCTAGCTGGTTTGATGGGCTCTTTACAGCAGCCTGTGCTCACTGCCTATGCTTCAGCCTGCCTGGGCCACCACTCTGCTGTTTCAGCACCTCTCCTGCTGCAGCTTCTTAGCAGGGACCAGTGGGCTGGCCAGGAATCTGTCACTAATTTAGCTTTCTTTTCTTTATTTACTTTTTAATGTAAAAGGGATTGGAACCAGGGGCACTTAGGCACTGAGCCACATCCCTAGCCCTTTTTATTTTTTGAGGCAGGGTCTTGCTAAGTTGCTTAAGGCCTCACTAAATTGTTGAGGCTGGCCTCAAAACTTGAGATACTTCTGTCTCGCTCGGCCTCCCAAGTCACTGGAATTACAGGCATGCACCACCTGGCTAATTTAGCTTTTAACAAGATCATTTTGACTTCTGTATTAAGGATGGTTGGAGGGAGCAAATGATGGAGCAGAGAGACTTTGGAGGGTTATTCTAAAAATTCAGAATGGACAGTAGTGGCTTTGACCAGATGGTGGTAATAGACAACTGTAGTCATATACTTTAAACGCAGAGCAGACTGGAGTTGCTGGCAGATGTGGAGTGAGTGTGAGAGAGAAGAGAGAAGGGAATGAGAGAAAGGAAAAGAGCAATCTGAGCAACTGAAACATGAGTGTGCTTAACTTAGATGACTGGGAAGTCTGCATTTAAAGGAATAAGTTTAGATATGCTAAACGTGAGATACCTTTTAAGTGGAGATTTCATAAAGGTGGTTGAATATACAGATCTGGCATTTAGGATAGAGGCCTGGGCTAGAGAACTTGAAAAAGGTCAGCACATGGATATATTAAAAACTAGAACACTGAATGGGGTGACCAGAGTGTGTGTGTAGACAGGAAGAGTTTCAAGGACTGAACTGTGGGTTACTCCATTATTAGGATGTCAGGGAGAAGATGACCCAGCAAAGGAAACTGAGGAATGGTAGTGAAACAGGGCACGATGTTCTGAAAGCCAAGTAGAGAAAATGTTTCTGGCAGGGTGGTATGCAAAGGGATGATCAAACTGCGAAGTTTTGCTTATTTATCTAGACAAATATTGAGAATTAAATGATACCAACCCCACACATAACCCCTACCTCCATTTCTCTGTTATGATGGGTTCTGTAATGATTTTTTTGGAGCTTCCACTTAAGAGGAACGATGATTAAAGAAGCTGTGAATACTGTGGTGGTCACTAGGCTGTTTACAGGTATTCCCCCCATTCTGGGCTCATGGTAGCAGTGCCACTCTTTTATGTCCACATGTCCTAACCAAGGAAATGTAAGCAAAGTAGTGTTTGTCACCTTCTACAGAAGCTTGAAGAGCCAGTGAACAGTCCCTCGCATGAGCAACTGTGGAAGCATGAGAGGAAGCCTGGTTGGCCAGAGACAGGCAGACTTCCTGGCTGACCCTGATAGACATCTAGTATGAGAAATAAACGTGAGTTTTGTTAAGATAGCAAAATTCAACCAATCCTGACACAAAGCCTGAAGACAAATAATAGTGTCCCAGGCTCCAATTATAACCAGCAGGATTACAAATTTAAGGATGTAAAAGTTTTCTTTATAAGGGATAAAGAAAACCCAGCAGCAAATAACACAGATAATAGTTTTCCTCTCTGTCAGTTCTCCATTAAATAACTATTAACTTTTCTTCTTCAGAAACTTCCAAAAATAGGGTTGTGGCTCTGTGGTAGAACACTTGCCTAGCATGTGTGAGGCACTGGGTTCAAGTCTCAGCATCATATATAAGTAAATAAAATAAAGTTCATTGACAACTAAAAAGATATATTTTTTTAAAGTGATTTTTTAAAAAAGAAACTTCCAAAACATAGTTTAGTATATTTCCAACTTTGCTCTCTGTGCCATGCAGGAATGCTCGTTTCAAATGCAGATTCCCTGGTCTGGGCCCCTTTGAATGCTGATGTTCTTACTCCAAGAAGGCTTTATTTAAATAATGTGTGGTTTGGTACAAAAATATTTGTGTCTTTGTCCCAAGTTCCTGGCACAGAACTCTTGGAACTCTTGGAATGTACTGAGTGATGGAAGAGGTGTCTTCTTCGGTCTTGACCCCTTTTGATCACAATTAATACTAATCAATTAATACTAATGAGGTGACTTAGGTGGGTGAACCTGGTTAGCCTCAGAATGTGGCTGGTCACCTGAAAAACTAGGTGCTTTGACCTCCAACCTACCAACTTCTAGGAAAGGGGTGGGGACACTGGAGGTATAGATATAAAATAAACTCTGAATGAGCTCCAGAGTTCCTGGATTATAAACACCAAGGCACTAGGAGGATGGGATGCTCTAAGGACATAGAAGCCCCATGCACCTTCCCCTGCTCTGCCCTGTCCTGAATTGTAACATTTATAACAAGCCAGCAAAATGTAAAGCATTTTCCTGAGTTCTGCAAGCTATTAATAGCAAATTCTTGTACTCAATTTGGACATAAGTGGGGACAGTCTTATGCAACTGAACCCTTATACCTGTGGAGTCTGATACTAACTCTGGGTAGTTAGAGCTGTAGACACCCAGTTGGTGTCCAGAGTCAGAGAACTGGTTGTTGAAAACAACATACCAATGTAACACTGAAGTTCAACATCATGTCTCCCTGCTTACACATTTCAATATTAGAGAAGAAATGTTAGTGCAAGAGACAAGGAAATCACAATTCTGCATAAAAGAATTTTATTTAATGGCCAGATCCCAATGAATAATGTTAGCCATTGCTTGATTCTGCTCAAATGTACTATTAGGTATACTCTTAAGAAAGTATACAAGTGCATCACCAAAAGCTGTCTAATTTGGATTGTGTAGAGTAAAATAAAAGTTCATAAATCTTTGTTCTTTGATAAAATTTTTAAAATATAAAAATGAAAAAAAAACAGAAAAGCAGTATTCAAAACTAATAAATGTCACCTTGGACTATTTACAGTAAGATGCCTTTTTATAACAGAATACTCTGCTTGATTCTTTTCCTCACATTTTACTTAGAGGTATTCCCATGTCTTTATCTGATCCTTATTCATGATTTCTTCCTCTCGTGTCTCACTTGAAACAGCCAGCCATCTTCTCTTTTCACTCATCTTTGAGTCTCTAATACTTCTTTTTCCTCACTAATAAATGATTAACAGTTCTATTCAACAGACATTTATTTATTGAGCACCTAATATGTGCCAGGCACTGTGCTAGGAGGTGGGGATACAGATGAAAAGACACCAACCCCCTTCCTCAGGAAGCTCAAGAGTTTGGGTTGAATTTTTTAAATATCTTTCACATATTCCACAAAATCCTAGGCCCCTAGGAAGTACATTTGGAGATTTCTGGAAACAGTGCACTCATTGGGAATCTGTCCACTCAGCCTACTGCCTGCATGTGGAATTTGGAATTTTGCTCTTTGTGAAGCAGAGCCTAAAACACCCACCTACAGTTGGAGTTCCCAACTCTTATCAGCCGGAAACCACATGTTAGGCAGTAATGTGAATGTAATATTTTACTTTGCTTCTACAAATTCCATATTTGAAAAGCCCTTGATCCAAAAACTACCAGATTTGAGCAATATCTACATATTAAGAAAGTCCTCCCTGATTTGGACTAACCAGATGCTCTCAAACTCCTGTCTTATTCCTAAGTGTCCAGCAGGAACTCTTGTGGTTACCTCCACAGGCTCAGACTTCTGTGCATTTCTGTATGAAATTTTCCTTAGTTTCAAACATAAATTTGTAGGTGACTTTTTTTTTTTTTCCTTTTTTCTCATGTTTGAACCCAAAGCAAGCTCAGTTCTTGCCTTTGGTCTATATCTTCTTTGTCCATTAAGTGAGACCCAAGAGAGTTACTTTAAAAAGGTAAACATGAAAGAGAAAACAAAAACTGTACATGACATACCACCGAAGCAAAAACTAAACCACAGCCTCGCTGCCCTCATCCAGGGCCATGCCTGGCAGACCATGTCCCTAGAAGTATTCACAAGTGGTGATCTTTCTCAGGCACAGTCAATCAAGTCCAGATCATCCAGGTGGGCTCCCCTCTTCCAGTCTAGCATGTTCCTTTCCTGAGACCCACACAGCCGACCACTGAACAATGATGAAGGGTGCATTGGTGGAAAGTGATAGCTGTGCCTTTTCCAGGCCACACAGGGCCAGATCTCCCCACAGTGTCCATCCAATTTGGTGACGCTCATCCATTCAAGAACTAGAGCCAGATTCACAGCTTCCTCGTGAGCTAGTTCCAAGCCCTTTGGACCTGAAGGCAACTTAGGGAGTTGGCATTATTCTCTTGTTCCATCTGCCTCCCCCCTCCCACCCCCTCTGTGGTGGAGAGATGGTGTTGGAAAGAGGATAAGACGAGCAAGGCATACTGAGAGGAGGAGGGGACCAAGAAGTGATCATGCACAAGCTTCTGGCTCTGTCGTGCATATATTTTCAGTGTAACAGCGTGAATTTTGACACATAAGGAAGGGCTTGTGCTTTTTCATTAAAGAAATAACTCGCCCTGAAAAGCTCATTTGGCAAATGTGGCCACGAACATGTGTATGTGTGTGTGTGGGCAATGTGTCAAGAGGTGATGCTCACGTCCTGTGAGTGTGTCCTACGGGCCCTTCCCCATTGCCACACCCACCTCACCAGCACAGAGAACCTGATGGGTTACACCTGGTCGGTTTGATATTCAGAAGCTTCTGACAGACTTTCTGAGAAGCTCAGGAAATTCTCCTGGTACTCAGAACACACAATCTCGTAGCGGTAGTGCCGGAACTCCACGGCAAAGGTGCCAAAGTAAGACAGGAAGCACATGACCAGGCCCCACTGGACCCTGGCTGCGTACATGTGGATGTCTTGGGCCATGAGGATGAAGTCTGGGGAGAAGCAGTCAAGGAAGGCACCCTCATCAGCCACACTTGTCAGCAATCCCCTCACCAGCAAAACCGGGAGCTTGACAGAGCTGCTAAAGGCCAATATTTGCATGAGTGATAATATAACTGTTGAACTCTGTGCCAGATGTGCTTCTAAAGGTGCTTTCATGAATAATCGCTCTCAATTCTCACAGCAACCCTCTTATCATTTGCAGTTTTATAACAGTAAAGAAACTGAGACCACGTGAATAAGTAACTTGGCTCAAGTCACTCGGGCGGACAGCAGTTGGTAGGGCTGGATTCACACAAGCACTCTGACTCCCAGGCCAGGTATTCAACAACTGCACTCTACACCTGCCTGATGGAGTGTGAGATTAACAAAAGAATTACAACTCCAAGGTTAATTAGTGAATCAAAAACATAGAGCTATCTTTTTAAAAATCACTATGAACAACCAGAGGTTTATAGTTCTATCTGCAGAAATAATTTTGAACATACCAGTTTGCTAACGACCTCCATGTAAGCTGTGTTGGGCTGTGCTATGCTCTAATACTGTTGAGTGACCCCCTTTCCTCTTCTAATTTTCACCATTCTCTTCTAGACAATACTGTATAATCCCTGAAGTCATAATATCACATTAAAACTTATGCCCAGGTGAAAATATGCAATTTAAAAAACAAATAGATGAAAGCCCTATTCCTGACTGTATCTGGTGTGTGTATGTGTGTGAGTGTGTGATACAACTGTATATATGGAGAATAGGACCTCCAAAAAGGGTGAAAAGTTCATAGTATGTTTTAATGAAGGGCCAAGAGGCTGAGGACTGACTACATTTATTTAGAAAAATCAGAGATGTCTCTTAGAATGAGTTTTCTCTTTAGAACTTAGGTCTAGAGTTTGGGGAGATTTTCAGAAAATAAGAATATTGAAACTATTTCAGCCAAGCTTTGTTCTCTTGATGAGGTCTGGATCCCTTCACCCAAGAACCAAGAAGTATTCTAAGTGTTCCAAAATGACATGGATCAGAATCAACTATAAGCTCAAAACAGAATCATTTAAAGTCTGCATACTCATACTAAAGCAATAGTAACTTTACTTAAGTTAATGGAGAATGATTAAATCAAACCTCAAGTGGCCAGTTTTGACTTTTTTGATTTTGTGTTTTTTATCAGGTTGCTGGCAAGCAGCAAGTTTTTTGGTTGGTTGGTTGGTTGGTTGGTTGTATATGTACTGGGCATTGAACCCAGGGGCACTTTATCAGTGAGCTACATCCAGTCTGTTTTATTTTATTAAGTTACTGAGGCTGGCCTTGAACTTTCGATCCTCCTCCTTCAGCCTCACAGAGTCACTGGGATTATAGGCCTATGCCACTGTGCCTGGCAAGAAGCGAGATTTTTGGCTTGGATTTTAAGTTCTTAAGTGTCCTCTGTCTAATGTGACTGCAGAGCTTCCGAAAAACAGTGAAATGATCAAATGACCGTTAGTGAAGGAAAAGGAAATAAAAAGCTCTAAATGTTCCACTAATTAGAGAATGTCTTTGAAAGCTAAATGTTTTCATTCTCTAGGGAGAAAATGGTCCAGTAACTGAGGGCAAGAACTGAGCCCAAGTTTATATCTTTTTTTGGAGGGGCAGGGGTGGAGGCATGTTCCTGGGGATTGAATCCAGGGCGCTTAACCACTGAGCCACATTCCCATCCCTTTTTGTATTTTATTTAGAGACAGAGTCTCACTGAGTTACTTAGGGCCATGCTAAATTGCTGAGGCTGGTTGAACTCAATTCTCCTGCCTCAGCCTCCTAAGCGGCTGGGATTACACAACCTCACTGGTGCAAGTTTAAATCTTGATACACTATATACTACTTGTGGGATCTTGGAAAAATTAGCCTGTGATCCTATTATTACCTTTTAAATAAGGATTAACAGGTACCTTGATACATTAAAATTTCTGAGAATAATGCTGTACACATGGTTAAGTGCCCAGTAAGCACTGGTGATTAAAGATGTATAACTGTGTGTAATTAACCGTCTAGGAACTTTGACTCCCTTCTCTGGTTTCCTGAGGAGAAGGAGGAACTATTAGAAGGCACACTTGTGGATTTAGCTCCACCCAGGGATGACTGATCTGACTGGTGGGATTGGAACTGGTCAGCTTGTATTGGGCCAGTGCTCCATCCTAACCAGCTATCTCTGGGATTTGTCTGGGGTTCAGTGGAGTGAGCCATTTTCTGCCTTTCCCTGGTTTCTATGCTTGTTACTGGATGGGTAAGTTGAATTGCAGGGTATAAGAGATGAGGCCTGCAGCATTCTTTCCAAACTTCCTAAGAATAAAGGCTCATTTCTTCTTCCCCATCTGTCTCCTTATGTCTGTTCTCAATTGGTTCAAACTCTGAGGGAAGGAAAGGAAATGAAGAGCATCCTAAATCCTCAAATATTTGTTTAGGAAAACTACACATGCAATGACAATCTAGTTCTTGAATTTGTTTCCCAGAAAGGCTTATTTTCCTGAAAGATATAAACATCCTAGTCCCTTGAAATTCATTTTAGAATTAATAAATTAGATAACAAGGCTTAATTAAATCATAATAAAATTTTTTAAGATGGAGAAAAATTACCCTTCTCTTTGGGTTATGTATTGTATGTTTTTCACAAAAGGAAACTTCTGTCATTAGTGAGGGAAGAATGCATGACACCACTCCTACAAATTGAAACAATCTTGAGATGGCAGAACTTGCTCTTAGTTCTCCATCTCTCTTGAGCATGAAAAACTAACCTGAGAGTTTTGGTTTTCACACTTGTTTACTTTTCTGTTTTGTTTGAAGATTCTGAGATGAAGCCAGGAGCAGTGGTACACATCTCTAATCAGAGCAGCTGGTGAGGCTACGGCAGGCAGATGGTGAGTTCAAAGCCAGCCTCAGCAATTTAGTGAGGTCCAAAGCAACTTAGTGAGATCATCTCCAAATAAAATATAAAAAGGGTTGGGGAATGTGGCTTTGTGGTTAAGCACACCTGGGTTCCATCACTAGTACCAAAAAAAAAAAAAAAAGATTCTGAGATGACATGAGAGTTATCCCAACATCCTGGGAATGGCAACTGTCTCACAAACAACTTACCTGTGTTTTAATCTCACTAGTAAAGAACCTTTCACATTCAAAGGATACAAAGGACTACACAGAGAGTGATAGATGCTGACAGAACAACTCGCGGAATTCCAACTTTCCGTCCTTCATTCTTGATGTTGACTTTGAGTGTCAATGCAGCCTGGATCCAGCAGGTCAATGTGCCAAATCCAAAAGTCAAGGAGGTTCCCACATTATGGATTTCTTCATCCTTTGTGAGCTAGGGATGAACAGACCATGGCATGTGGGAGCCCATTTAGAAAAGAAGACAATGCAAGCTGATGAAATATGCGAGGGGAGAAAGATATCTCAATACTGGGATGAGAGATTTTAGGAAGATGAGAGTCCTCGATCTCCACTGGGTCTTTGTGTCTAGTCTCAAATGGTTCAAACTCTGCAGAGAGGAAGGGAAATAAACAGTACCCAAAACCTTAAAAACATTCATTCAGGAAAACCACTTAGGAAGTGGTCATCTATTCTTTGAATTGATTTTTTCAGAAAAGCCTTTTGGGAAAGGAAATGAAAAAACCAGACAAGTTACACACAAAAAAAGGAAATGTCAAAGTTCGTACAAGCATACATTCCCAAGTTTATTCTCCAGGCTAAGAAAATAAGACACAGGATCTGTTCTTTAAAGATAGGATAACCAATTCTGGTCAAGTCAAGATTGAATTGGCATAGACAACTAATCACTCTTGGGCTGTTCTTTACTTCTATAAAACTGACCTGTCTGTGTGATGTGTCCAACTCCATTCAGGAGAATTCTTTGAGTTTTGTTTTACTGTAGTAATAAGAAAAACTGCCATCTACCAGCTTGGTCATTATTTAGAGACTCGTTAAAAGATAAAAGGATTGAAGATTGATAGGCAAGGCTTTTATAGAGTCAGTAGGTTAAATGAAAGACATCTGGGTTATTTCATTTGGGGGACAGAGATATAAAATCTTCAAATCATCCCACTTATTTAAAAAAATGTATATAACACTTAAATCTCTCTTTGTAATTACATGCAATTTAGTCATACATATAGGAAAATAAAATTATTGTTGAAGGGATAGCTTTTAAACCATGCTGTAAAATATCATTTTGTTGTTTAGTATGGTAGTGAATAGCTTTTGCATCAAATGAATATCACTTCTCCTTTATAATTTTTTTCTATTGTTTTTAGCTATAGGGTTCATTCTCCCATCCAGGCCCATCCCCTTGTTTGGAAGAAACCACTTTTTCCTCATAATTCAAAAAATATATCTTCAAAATTTGTTTAAAAATAATGATTCCTTAAATTAAATTTCCCTAGGATGTTGGTTTTCTGTGCCATATGCAATCTATTTCATTTCCTTTTTTTGCCATTTTAAATGTAAATTTAAAAATAGATAATAGTTATGTGGTTCAAACTTTTAAAATTTACCAAAAAAAATGGTATAGATTGAAAAGTCTCTTAGCCAGTATACATCATCCATCTGTTTTCTCCACAGGGAACTACTTTGTTGTTTGTTCCTTGTTTATTTCCTATAGATATTCCTGCAAGCGTTCTTTATATCTACTGTCATTCATTCATAATTTTGATTATTTGTGGTTCATCAAGACTGTCCCATCTCTGTGCTTCTAGGACTTTACTATAGATCCAAATGGGCACTTAACTCATCAAAACCATGGTCAAGAGAACTGATCAACACTGAGCATATTACAACCTACCTGCACCTGCAGCACAGGCAGGCAAGTGAGGGAAAGGCCCCCACGAAGATTCTAGTAAAAATGCTCTGTGCCCTAACAATTTGGGTCTTTTTAAAAAAAAAAAAAAAACATTTTAAAAAGATTTATTTTGTTTTGGTTGTAGTTAGACACAACACCTTTGTTTTTATTTATTTATTTATTTTTATGTGGTGGTGAGGTTCAAACCCAGGGCCTCGCACACGCTAGGCGAGTGCTCTACCTCTGAGCCACAACCCCAAGCCCACAATTTGGATCTTAACAGGATAAAATCTCAAATACTCTCTTGATAATTCATTACCCTAACAAATATGTTCTAAAAATGCAGCTTTCTGGTTGTCTAACTTGATATGTGATGGAATTTAGAATAGTTTGAGGAATTTGTGGAACGGCCTGTCAAACAACTCATCAAGTGAAAAAATACTTATTTAGTTGCTACTTGGGGAACTCTTGTTCCCCAAGAGGAAGTCTTGGGGAACATGTGATCCTGGCTTAATGAATTAGCAGGAGTGAGAGTTAAGACAGGACATGCTCTTAGAAAATCCACTACCAAATTTTCAGTAAGAACATTTCCTGAATGCTCATTAGATTGCTGAGGGTCTTGAATGCCTACACCATTTTTATTTCAAATCTAAGAAACAGGAGGAGTGTCAGGATCAGTGTTTGCTCACAAGGAGAAAATCTGAAGCAATAGTATGTATGGCATAGGTTGGAGGATGGTATGGAGGGAATGGAGGCAGGAAGATCAGTCAACTACTGCAATAAATTAAGTCATTTAGGACAAGAAGTGGGTGATGGTATTGGCAAGGGAAATTATTCTTGCAGATTGTGATCTTAAGCTTCTAAATTTCTAGGAAGAAAGATTAGGTGTTCTAGAGAAATTCTGAGCTTTCAAACTGGATTCCATGGGGGCTTACTAACTTGAAATGTAAGCATTCATCAAATAGAATATGTGGTGTTTAATTATAAAAAGGCAATGATCCTAAGTTTTCTAGAAAGACACATTAGGATGCAATTTGCTATTTTTAATAAAAAGTGTGACCCACTTCCAAATTCTTTGTCTAAAACTATTAATAGCTACTTCTTACAATAGCCTTGCTGTAATTCATATGCAGAATTTTCATATGTCTCACATGTGTGACAAGAACTGGCTCAGAGGGCTGGCTGCTGGAGAGCCTGTGACAGTGAGAACCACTGTTCCTAATTGTTTTTAAGGTTGATGAAGAATTAATATGGAACACATCGTGACTAGACTTCACTAGCTGCAATAATCATACAAGTGAAGGCCTTAATGATATGAGAGGGAGGTGAAAAAGGCCAAATGAAGTACCTGAAAATTACCAAGTAAGGTCATTCCAAAGGAAGCCAGACACAGCGCCACCAATCCACTAATATTCAGCCATGGGTTTAAAACCTTTGGTTTCAGTTGTATGAAGCGCAGAACAGCTACCACAAGGGCTAGGAATAAAGCAAAATCTTAAAATTAAAAAAAAATGTAAATCATTCACCTACTATGAGGCAGAGTTCTCCACCCACAACGTGCACAACTCAACTTTGCATCATACTCCATCTTAAGTCTCTGAAAGGACAGGTGATTTTACAAATACACTTTCCATGCAGTGCTTATGATTATTTAGATGTTTGGTGACACCACCTGGGGGAAGCCAAGAGGACTTGAAGCAGCAGTGCTGTCTATTATGGGGGTGATGCAAGGATGACAGAACTGTTAGTAGTGTTGTTCCAGAGTTTGCAAAAACAAGGTCAGCCAAGGGCTGACTGGCCTCAGAGAGCATTGCAGAGGTGTGGCATAGAACAAATGAGCTGGGGACAAAGACCACGGCCTGGAATTCACTAATATCAGCCATCCTTTAGCTTACAACAGTGTTAGAAAACATGAGGCAGGAAGGTGGGGGGAGAGGTCAAGGTTACCACATATGGGCAAACCTGTGTTCCTTGGGCCAGAAACCATCCCTAGGGATAGGAAGCAAAGTGTAAAAATCCCTTCATTATTGGTTTTAGTTTCACTTCCCTTTGATGCTCCCAGTAGGTGCTCATTGTCAAAGGACCAAGACAATTCAAATTAGAGCAATTAAAGTAATCACGTTCATGAAATCTGCATCCTAACACCAAAGATGGTGGGGACAGAGGTAGATGTGTACTCAAAATCAGACCTGGTACATCAAGAAGACTCAATTCTTTCAAGTGATATTAATCACCCCATCTCATTTGTTCCATGCCACACCTCTATAATGCTCTTTTAAAAGGTCACTCTATCTTTTGAAGTAACTTGGTATCTAAGAACTTGAAGAGAAAATGAGGGAAGTTACTTGTATTTCAAATCTGACTTCTAATAGTAACCTTGGGGACAGTTACCATTCAAGCCACTAGTCTAACAATCACCTTTTATTAGAGACTTAGTGCAGGGATATTTTCATGTATATACAAAAAGCTGGAAGAGAATGGTTTACAAATGATGAAATGAATATAAATTGTATCTTATAATTAATATAAAATTTATGTACATATAAGGAAATGCAGTTTCTACTGCTTAAGACAATTAATTTTGACATTAAGTTTCAGCAGGGAAGACAGAAATTCAAGAATTACCCTATTTATATTAGCAATTATGTTGGTAATTATTCACTAAAGGTTTTGCCTTGATTAAAGGCCCTTATCCATAATCATTAGTTAAAATAATCTTCCATACATTTGCATTTTCCAAGGATGCTAAATTTCATAGTGTCAGGCTATGAACTAAAGCTCAAAGAGTTGGCTTTCCAAGTACCTCTGATCAGAGAGTGGAATAATACTTGATCTTATTTGGATTTTGGAACCAAAATAGAGATAAACCATGATTTGTGAAATATCAACTTATCCAGCCTTGATATAGTTTTAGTACATGTTTCATCTAATGCCCACTATGGATCAGAAAATTAATCAATTCTATTTCAGTGGACAACAGCTGCTCAAACAATTGGATTGAGATACCTAGTTAGGAGTTACTTCAGAAGTCTATTAATAATAACTATAGTTAGCAGGTGAAAGCTACTTCTATCCTAGAAGGTGAAAAGTAAACATTGTTAATAATTTTTAGGATGAGAATAGAAGAAGGAAGTGGGGACAGGAGTAATTCCACATACAGCATTCTGACATAACTTGGTCAGCTGATAAAGAAGTCATTAGATTAGGACTAGAGAGTTCAACACAGGGCACCATGGGATTTACTTGCTAATTAATTCTGCATGGCTGTAAGGGAATAATGACAAAATACCAAGGTGGCACATTTAATTTCTTTTAAAAATGATTAGTGAAACATATTACTTTGGGAACTCCCTGCTGGCCATTTAATTAATTGTAGAATAAGACCATGCTGGAACCTTAGCCTAGGTGAAACCCAATCCCTCATATAGCTCCTCACAATGACCCATGTAGTTTAGTCCCTATGCCCAGGAGAAGGGATTTGATGGTCAATCTCTGAGCTAACTATTTCTTGCCAGTAAACATGGGACTTGTATCATGTCTTGGTCCCAGTAATGCTAAGCTTCCTATTTGTAACATGGGTGATAAGACACTTTTTCATGAGCAAGTGATGAAATTACACAGGAACCAGAAAGCTCTGTGGAGCCAATAATTCAACCCAGCACTCTTAACTTCCAGAATCATGTTCCAAACACCATACTTTGCCCTTTTCTCCTGTTAGTTCCATTATTAATCAGCTCAGATGAGGTATAATTTCCTTTTAAAACAGATTCTACTTGAATTTTTAGAATGGCAAACTAAATGAAGAGACTGACCCTATAAACAGTCTTATTAACTCTTTGGTTTAAGTCAGATTCAAACCATGAAGTCCATTGTCAACAAAGTGGTAGTTTATTTATACCTTATTGAAAAAGACAGTTGGGGCAAGAGGACAATTTCAAAGGCATCATTATATATGCTGACCAACTTTTACCATGTTCACCTGATGAACATGACATGCTGTTTAGTTTCATTAAAAAAAAAAAAATTTTTTTTGAGGCAAGAGGACCACAAGTTGGAGCCTAGCCTGGGCAACTTAGCAACACCCTATCTCAAAATAAAAGCTTTTAAAAAGGGGCTAAGGATGTAGTTTAGTGGTAGAGTACTGGTCTAACATGTTCAAGCCCAAGTATCACAGTGGGAAGAAAATTAGGTTTTACTAGATGGTTTTTAAAAGATATTAAAAATCTACTCCTCTCCTGTTTTGAGTATGTAGAATCTTTGCTACACATGTGCCCCCTATTTAATTTTCCTGTCTATTTTAAGAGTATAAATAGAAAAATTGTATATTTAAAAATTTTTTTTTAATTTTGAGACCGATTAGGTTTTTAAAATTCAAAACTCTGAGTAACATATCTTCATTACAGCTCTAAACTGGTGCCTGGCCAATTCTTTTTTGTTTTGTTTAGTTTTACTGTTTATATGCATCCATAATTCCTATTTATGACTGCGGTAGAACACGACAATCAATATGTTTTGGCCGAAGGAGGGAGAGAGGCTGCTATTAGGTGACTGAAATCATTCAGCTATTAGCTTCATCCTCAGCAACCTCCCCAAGGGCAGGAAATAATATTCCTCTCAAGAAATTTGTCTTAGGTCTTTTTCTCCCCTAGTGGAAAGGAAAATGTGGATTCAGGACAAAGAGCATAACGAATTCTGTAAAGAAAATAATTGAGCATTCAATCTTTGATTAGCCTGTCAAAAAGATAAAAGATCTTTGCTAACTAATTTTAATAAATGCTACACTGACTCATTTTTAGACTATAAATTATAATCTATAGGGCTGCTGAGAAGCAGTCACTTATAGACAGCACGGGCTATTTCTTAAAGGTAGTTATGCTATCTAAAGTAATAGTCTGATGTCAAGCAGGGACAGACCTGGGGAGATGAAAGTATCCACAGTGGAACAAGAATCTTTACTAAATGGATTCTTTTTCACTTCCAGAGTTTATAAATAAATAATTGTTGGTTTGCTCCCACCGAACACTAATCTTAATCAGTTTTGTGTCTACCAGATGGTCCTTCAAATGCTGAAAGATAATAAAGACTAAACACTGGATGTTGCAATACCTCCAAGCAAGAGCTGGTAAAAGCTTAATTGCGTCTTGGTGGAGTAGAAAGAACTGAAGAATAAGATGATGACAAATGTCATCTGGAAGAGGGGAACTTGCTTGCATTGCTTTGTTTCTGGAAATGCTTTTATAATTAGTTAATCATATGTTTTATAACTGGAGAATCTCATGAGCTGTGCAAACTGGTTTATACAACAAAGACTACTGGGAAATATCAATTTGTTTAAAAAAGAAAATAATATGTAGCCTCCCACATGTTTGTTGGTTTCTTTAAACCATAAAGGAGGACAGCTTGTGACAGCTTTTGTATAAAAGCAGGTTTCTACATTTCATGGTTAAATGAGGTAGTGTTTATAAAGCACTTAGCTTTGAGCTTGGAATAAAAATGATGGCAATTAATTATTGTTATTGTGCCCTGTGGGGTGATCAGATGAGTCGGTGCCAACCTGCAGGCCTACATACTGTGATGGCAAAGAGTGTGTAAAAGGCCCCGACTCTGCAATTCACAGCTCACTCTGGGGCTTTGAGCTCTGTTAAATGCAAACATTCCTTAGCGGGCACTGGGCACAGTGGTGCACACCTGTAATCCCAGCAGTTTGGCAGTCTGAGGCAGAAGGATTGTGAGTTCAAAGCCAGCCTCAGTAACTTAGTAAGGCCTTGAGAAACTTAGTGAAACCCTGTCTCAAAATAAAGTGTGAAAAAGGGGATGGGGATGTGGCTCAGTGGTTAAGCACCCCTGGGTTCAATCCCTGATACAAAAAAAAAAAAAAAGAGTGTATTCCTTAGTAGGCATTTGTGCCCCAGTATGAATAAGTTCACTGGATCTTTTCAGAAGAAAGTGTCAAGAGTAGAATAAAAAGGAGGGAGTATAAGGTTCCTGACAGTTCTGAGGCTGAAGGCAGTATCCAACCAAATCAATTGTGACCAGCCCTAGTCCCACATGTGCATCAGCTGCTGTGAGTGTCAGCCTTCTCAATACTTGTGAGAATCTGGGCCACGAAAACCCTGACAGGCACAGGCAGGAAGACAAGAGCTGCTTCTCAGCATCAGGATAGTTAACCTTCTCTTCATGGTCATGTAGTAGCCCATGCCTTCCAGACATTTCCTGCTTAGGTGAATGGGACATACTTTGGGGAAGCTTGGGTAGGGAAAGGCTCTGACAAAATTATACTTAGCTCCAGGGAGAAATCTTGCTAACTTCAGAGAAGTCCCCCAGTATGCTTCTCTAGGGATGTTCTCCAAGTTTCTTACGTTTTGAGCTGTCTGAACAAAATGATTCTGCTTGTGTTGCATGTTGAACTAAGAAGGTCCCATGATTTCCTAAGTTCTAGAGATTTAACCTTTCCTACAGCAAACATTAAAAAAGAAAACATTAAGATTGAGTAGATTTTTTTTTCTGGTGAGGAGGAGAGGATTTACACAGAGATGAAGTAACTGGTCATGTCGTTCAGAGACAGGTACCACAAAGGCTAAAAACTCCCTTGGTAATGATATTTTTATCTCTATTTGGAGTGAAAGTCTCTCCATCTAAAAGAACCTTTTCTAGAAAAACACTGTGGAAAGATTGAGCTGACATTGGTCCTCTCCCAACAATGTGACAACAGTGACAGATAGCTGACCCTTTGAAGGATATGTGGAAAGCCTGGCTTTGAGGAGATGGTGTACAAGTTGGACTTGAGCAAGGAGAGAACACGCATAGTTACCACTATCTCTGGAAGACTAACAGGGTCATACAAGCACTTGCAGAACTAGGGGACGGGATATTAAGGGAAGGTCTTGGGCCCAGAAGTAAGTGGAAGAAATCAGGGTCAGACATGAGCACTAAAGGTTGCTTTTTGTCTTAAGCCTCCTTCCTCATTTGCCAGCTTAAAATGTATGTGGGCACAGAGGAAGGCAAGAGCCTAATGTCAGTGCTGCTCTTTAGGCTTAAGACAGGGTCTATAAACAATATTTATCACAGAGCCCAAGCATCTTTTTATCTTTGCCAGTGAAGGAATGAATAAGTCATTCTTTTTAAAGCAAATGTATTGTACCACATCACATTCCGAGGCAGGATTTCATGGCACATGAAAGATATTATTTCATGCAGCAAAAGAAATAAAGTTCAGAGTATGCTGAAATGATAAAGACAATCAAAAGGAGAGAAATATAAGGCAAGCAGGAGGGAGTAAAAAGATTTATGAGGGGGGGAAAAAGGCTCCTAAAACAAATAGCTGGCTTTGGCCTATTGACATGATATGATACTAAATCATCAGCGAGGCCCACCATTGTTTTGATATAGTTTGGGGCAATGTTAAAAAAATAATGGACTGAAGTGCATCACGCATTCTTCATGCTCCTCTTACCTAGGAAGGCTGCCATGTTCATCACTTGACTAAACACACAGCTCGCAGGAGGATCATCCCCTGCAATACTTGAAAAAGATGAAATGTTTTATAATTACTCAAAATCTATAATCCTTCAACTTTTCCTAACATCCAACAGATCAGGTGAGAATTATGGAGTTACCTTATATATGGTGCATGCTTCACGCCAGATTTCCTGGGTAACAAACAACAGAGAGAGGCTTAGGTTAAAGCGTGGTCACGGCTGCAGTTCAGCTCTGCCACTGGCAAAGGCTTCACTAAAAGGCTGAACAACAAACTCCCCCAGAGATAAGCTTTACCTTTCAGCTGAATTTAATGGTAATATTTTTTCATCTTCCACAGCTATAAAGTACCTATCAGGAAAGAAAGATAAGTTGATAAAACAAAGCAATTTAAAAAAAAATAAACAAAAAATTCCAAGAATCATTTGTTTCCCAGTTAAATAGACTAAACTATTCTAAATCATACTCATTCTTTTCTGAGAAAATCCTTTTTAATAACATCTAGTTCTTTGAAGTTCCAATGTTATTTTTAATGTTTTCTTAATTTTCAAAACACCCCCAAGGGCTGGGCTTGTAGATTGGTGGTGAAGCACTTGCCTTGTACGTGTGAGGCACTGGGTTTGATCTTCAGCACCACATAAAAATAAAATAAAAGTATTGTGTCCATGTACAACTAAAAAAACATAATACTAAAAAAAAATTAAAAACACTCTCAAAATTTATGGCAATGATTTTAATCTGCAGGTTTTGTTGTTGTTGTTGTTGTTTAGGACTAGCGATAGAATCCAGGGCCTTCCATAGAATAGGCACGTGCTGTACCACTGAGCTACATCCCCAGCTCCCAAGGATTATAGTTTAGAAACTAGAAAACAAAGAAACCTTCCAACTTTGAGTAAATTAAAATTACAATTCAGTTTCTAGTTTCTTAGGAATAAATATTCACCACTCTTTTTTTAATGTTTATTTTTTAGTTGTAGGTGGACATAATATCTTTATTTCATTTTTATGTGGTGCTGAGGATTGAACCCAGAGCCTCACCTCACGTGTGCTAGGCAAGCACTCTACCACTGAGCTACAATCCCAGCCCCTATCCACCACTCTTAATGAACTTAAACTAAAATAAATTTCTTAAAGTGATTTATTACTTGAAATAAGCAATTTTTGAGGTAACAGGACTTCCAATGTAATGATATTCATCTTATAAACATATCAGACCTTGTCACAAATACTTGAACTATGAACAGGACTGTGAACAGAATCCAGATCATGTTTGTATCAAATTAGAAAAACTTGCAAATAATGAATTTACATGACCACTTTATAAAATGTTCATTATTAGAATAGATGAACACAAAACCAGCATTCTTTATTTCCTGCTTTGCATATTTATTACTTAATCTTATTTTAAGTAATAAAAGATGAGAAAATAAATGGGGACCTTAGTAAGATTAAATTACTAAGCATATTTTCTTAACAGATTTATAAATACATCCATATAGATATGTCACATATTCTCATATTTGTTTTTAGCTCACTGCATCTGAATCTTTAAGTCATTAAGAGCATACTCACACTATCCACAATCCAGCTGAAGTAAACAAAGTAAATACAAGAGGTAGAAACATCCATACACTGCATTTCTTCCCATCCATGCCTGTACCACTGAAATAAAATGAACAGGTGTTAATAATTAAGGCAAAAATTTACCTAACTCTTTCAAGATGGAAAGGAATTCCAGTGGGGAGAATCTTGTGAGCAGTTAACATAGACAATTGTCATCTAGCATTAGCTTCAGAGTCTTAGCTGTGATCTGATGCCAAATTTCTGATGAAAACTTTTGAGTACATTTAAGAATGGACAAAGGGGTTAGGACTTTCAGAAGAGCTAAGTACCAAAGGCAAATTCCAACCTACCTTTAGTGCTATTAACATTTACAGGTTTATGGACCTAAGTGCATAAGTATACTCCCAGGAAGACAGGTGTTATAAACAAATAGTTACTAAATAAATCAGCATCACAGGGGAAAAGAGCAAAAGCTTTGCAAATCTGAACTTTTCTTGTGACTTTACTGAGCAGCTATCACAGTAGACACAAAGATAAATGCTCTGGAAAATAATGCATTAGATTAGTTCCAATGAAAAAAACTGGGGAAAAATACAGATGCTGGGCATTGGGGATATAACATTTTCACAGCAAAAATACATAAATTAAAAACTCCCCTAGTCAGGCTCAATGGTGCACACCTGCAGTTCCAGCTACTCAGGAGGCAGAGGCAGACGGATTTCTTGAGCCAAGGAGTTTGAGACCAGCTTTGGCAACACAGTGAGACCCCCAGCTCAAACTAATAATTTTAAAATTCCCAGATAAGTGAAAACTAGAGGCTTTAGAAGTATCTAGGAAAGGCTGCTCTTCTGCCAGGGATGTGGGAATGGGCTGATCGTGGGCGGGCCAGCGCTGATCCTGCTTCGCTGGCAACACTTGCACAACAACATCACCTGCAAGGTAACAGAACTGGGAGTATCCAAAGCTGAAAGAAGTGGATGGTGTGCTTGGCTGAGCAGCAGCCTGGGAGAACGCAGACTCTACAGTACAGCCATGTCCCAATGCGAACATCCTCGAGCTTACTGCATGCAGCTCCAGACCCCTCTGCAGACATCCCATGACCACTTTCTACAAGCGCTGCAGAACTCAGTGCGGACACCTCTGGAGGGACTACGGCTGGCCCACCTGCGCAGTGGACACCCAGCAGGATATGAATTGTGTGTTCTGAGACTCTTTGCTAGTGAAGTGGGAGGTTCGCCCCTTGGGATGGGAGACCAGGGTGTCAGGAAATGGTGCCTGTCTGCCAGTCTGGGAGTTGCTGTGTGGTGGTGGGGAGACCCACAGGGAAGTGTGCTTGGTTCAAAGTCCTGCGCCTTCTCCTTTTACCTTCACTAGGCAGATGACATTTCCTCATACCAATGAACAGTCTACTGTTTGCACAACTTAGTACATTAAATATCCCTAAATACTTAACTGTTAATTATAAACCTGTAACCAAAACTTGTTCTGGATGTCGCATAAAAATTAAGTCTAATAAAAAAAAAAAAGGGTCTAGGAAAAATTATTGGTATCAAACAGAAGTAGCTAATTATCACTTTGTGACATATTTTTGCCTAAAACCATCAGACAAAATCTATTAGACATATTGGATTCCAGCATAATCCTGAAGGAAAAAAAAACAACACTTCTAAGAAAATAATGTACCCTAGTGACCTCCACTGGTGACTTGACAAACATAATGATAATGTGATTAAATGACATTTCATTTAGATTCCCCTCAGTATTCATTATTTTGAATTTTACCACAAGTTTGAACCTGCACTGCCAAATTTCTGAGTAATGACATCTGCTTTCATGTGCTGAGACTATGGACCTTCCAAGTGTAGACATCAGATAGAGAACATCATGCCCCGTTGAGGCTGGGAAGCCAATCCCTCTGCAAAGAAGTCTGAGTTCCTAGTACAGTCCTACCACATAAGGTAGATCTTTCTGACTAGGAGACAGACACCTGAATCTAATAACATGCCTTTAACATTTGTGCCTTAGTCTCAAACATATATCTGGGCAGAAATGTTAAACAAATGGTAGAATCTAGGAGTTGGAAGGCATTTGAGGCACTTTCAATCAATCCAATTCATCCAATTCACAATTATTGATACCCTACTTGTACCAGGCACTATGCCAGACTGTGGAAATACTGAGTTGAGGTCTAATGAATACTATGACTTATTTATTTATTTATTACCAGTCTATGCGATATATATATAGTAGTCTCTCCTTATGTAAGGGGATACATTTCAAGACCCCCAGTGGATGCCTAAAGCCATGAATAGCACTCAACCCTATCTATATATTTTTCTAATACATATATTTTCACTTTAAGAAAGCACTTTATGGCTTTTATCTTGTACATCTGTGTTTAGTTTTTCATCACTGTGACCAAAATACCCAACAAGAACAACTTGTAGGAGAAAAGGTTTATTTTGGTTCCTAGTTTCAGAAGTTCAGTCCATGGTGAGCCAACTCCACTGCTCTGAGCCCAAGGTGAGGCAAGTTGAGGGGGTGGTGGAGGAGTACTGCTTATTTCTTCGTGGCCAAGAAACAGAACAAGAGGAAGGCATCAGAGGTCACAGGGAAGATGAACCCTTCCAGAGCAAGCCCCCAGTGACACCTCCTCCAGTCAGGGCCCCAGTTACCATTACCTGCCTACATTATCACCCAGTTATTCCATTCAAACTAAGATGAACTGATTAGGTTACAGCTCTCCCAATCCAGTCATTTCACTTCCAAAAATTCCTGCATGAATGCAGGAGATTTTGGGAGACACTCCTATCCAAGCCATAACAGGATCTAAATTGCCAGCATCACTATCCTTGAACTTTGGGCTATTAATAAGTAAAATAAGCATTACTTGAACACAAGCACTGAGATGCCATGATAGTTGATCTGATAACTGAGATAGCTACTATGTGACTAATGAGCAGAGAGCCCATACAGAGTGGATACACTAGACAAGGGATGATTCAAGTCCTGGGCAGGATGGAGTGGGACAGCATAAGATTTCATCACATTAGTCAGAATGGCACACAATTAAAAATGTATGAAATGAAAAAAATGTATGAAATGTTCATTTCTGGATTTTCTATTTAATATCTTCAGACCATGGTTCATATGGATAACTGGAACCATAAAAAGTAAAGTTGCAGTCAGGGAAGATACTATAAATGCTTGGTCCATGTCTTTCCAATCTATGGAAGAACAGTGACCGTTTTAAGCATAAATAATATGGCCAGGCAGGATCTATTCATATTTATGTCCAAAAAGTTATAGATTAATAACAAAGCTATCAATTATGCTAACAAAAATTATTCCATCCAAAGGAATACATAAAATGGCAATGGTAATTGAGTAGGTAAAACAATTATTCTAGATTTGCCACTGAAACAGGGTGTTCTGGCAAGCTGAGATAGTTACACTACAAGTCTTAGAAGCTCTAGTTTCCAACCCCAGCTTTGCCAAAAACTAATCCCTTAGGGCCTAGATTAGTTACATCATTTTCCTATCTCACTACATCAAGATTAATGAATTTGAAAAAAGGGAGAGAGAAGTCAAAGACTGAGTTCTTCCAGGGTGGTAGTACCTTGGAGGTTAACCCAAGTCCAGTATTGTATATCTTTGCAGTAAGAGAATGCCCTAATATACTCAGAATTATCAGCCACAGAGAAAAATGGTAAACATTTTTACATTAGATTGGTGACAAAATCAGAATGCCAATATATGAAGGTAGAATGAATGAGAAACATAAGTGTCAAATAGTCAGATTGGCTTCCCTTTTAGGAAGATCTATGTGGGAAATCAAAATTTGAAAGCAGGGAGGCTAGATGAAGAGAGTTAATGAGACAACTCTTAAGACCAGGCCAGCGAGCTACAATAGTTCTCTGCACTGATTTCCTTCAAAGAGAAGCAGTCTGGTGGGACAGAAATGGTATGGCAAGGCAAAGGACCCAACCCAATTCTGCCACTCACTAGCAATGTCATTCCATCTCTAAAGCCTTAGTCTAACTGTAGAGATAACTCTGTTTTGTGGAATTGTGCTGAGGATTAATGATGCTGAGATTAAACACCTCCCACATAATCCGTGTTGGGTAAATGCTGTAATTCTAACTGCAGAGCAAATCCACACTTGCCTTAGGACAAAGTTCCCACTCTACAGGGCGGGGCTCAGGACAACTTAACACTTTCTTATTCTCTGGGATCCCACTTTTCTAGCTTCTCTAGAGAGGTGCAGACACCCTTCCTGATGGTAATAATCCTTTTCCCTCTCAAATGACTTCACCTCAAATTAAAATCTTGAGGTCTTAATAGTGAAGGTCTACCTTCCTGAGACTCTACTGCTTTGTTGTTTTTCAGTACGCATGTTTTTCAGTGCTCATTTGTTTTGTTAGGCAATTACCTAAAATGGTCAATGGCTAAAAGTACACTGTTTTTCTTTTATCAGTTTAACTCTCAAAGGGTAACCTATGTCCAAATTCCGGGAAACTCATAGTTTCCCTAGCTTAATAATTTGAAATATGCCTTTTCTTAACTTTGCGAGATGCCTTGGGAGGTGAAAAGGGTAAGCCTATGAATGGCTGTGTTATCAGTTTGCAATGGAACTACTTTGGTTTTCTTTAGGATTTTTAAAATGCTGACTATGCTTTTTTTGTTTAAATAATTGCAAATTCACATGCAGTTGTAAGAAATAATATAGACAGATCGTGTATATCCTTCATTCTGTCTCCCCAGGGTAACATCCTGCAAAAACACAGTATTATATCATCAACTAAGAAACTGGCTTGATACAACCCTTTAACTTAAATCAGATTTCACCAATTTTATGCACACTATTTACACGTGTGTGTGTATATATGTGTGCGCGCACGCGCAAAGCCCCCTTCTTACCTTCTCTATCTTCCTAACTACTTTGTTTTACAAAAGACCCTATGAAGTGCGAAGACCTCCAGAGACCAGGAGACCCCAGTGAAAAGCTCTTATAGAAACAGTTTCTGGTTCTGTCAACCTATCAATGCCCCATATGACAGATCTTGATGTTTCCATTTCTTTTTCCCTCTCAGGTAGGG